AAAAATGGACAAAAAGCAGGAGTGCAGCATTTTGAGAAATATCACTATTAACAAAAACAATATGTGGATTTATGTGGGGTTATATTTTACATTGATTCATGTCAGATGCAGTGACTTCTTGGAGTTTATTTACTGTCATTGGCTTGACTTCATTTGGTACATCATCCACCAATAAAACCACAATACAGTCTATTGTTTTTATATTTTATACAGATTAAAGAAATGTGACACAAGGTGTTTTAGAGGTGCAGTAGGTTGATTAAGTTACTTTGTCTTTATGCTAAGCTAACAGGCTGCTTGTTGTAGCTTCATGTTTACCATACAGCAAGAGAGCAAATAATTGCACTGTTCCTTCAAGCCCTTTGATAAAGAATGGAAACCTACCAAATGAAGAACACCAGCATTATTTTAAAGAAGCGTATTTTGATCTCATTGGCCAGCTTTCTCTCGTTTTCTGTGTAGATTCCTTGTCGTCCTTTCAGCAAAGATGTCACTAAGATTGGAAAGAAGACAGAGTTATTTATGTCTCCCCGTGTGTTGTTTTCGTTAGAGAGATCTGAAAGCAGAGGAACTCACCTGCAGATATGGTCCGGTTAAAGAAGACGGGGTTGGCTACGAGGACGAGCAGCATCGGCGCGTATGTGGTCACGTAGTGAGGAATGGCGTGCTGGAGGCCTTGCTCACAACTGCACACAAACGAGACAAATGATTTAATCGGCAATGGAAACAACTTTATAGCGGTTAACAGAGTTATTGTGTTTACTCCACTAAATCAAAAATGTAATCAGAAAACAATGATGAATAACAGCATTACGGCTAGTTGGACATCATTGGCAAAGATCATGTTTTCTATGGAAATAAAGTGACTGCAATTTTACAGACATTGTTAAATCTGCTTGTGTATTTGAGGATTCCTCTTATTATTTCTGGTAGCCGTGGGAACTAATAGGAAGAACAGACAGTGAAACAAACCCCCCCCAAAAAAAATCCCAAACTTCTTCTTCAGACAAATGCTGAAAGAGTCGACGTATCTCAGGGACAACAAAGTGTCTTACTCAGAAATGGATGGGTAGTAGAGCATGGCCACTCCTTCAACGCACAGCAGCACAGCCAGACCCCATGTAATCATGTGGTAGAGGATAATGGTGCTGAAGGGGAAAGAAACAAGTCATGAGACCCAAATCACAACACATGCTGCAGCTCCCTCTTTATCTCAGGGATGAAGATTGTTTTTTTTTTTCCCTTTGCAAAAAGCACTGACCGGGGAAGGAAACGAACGAAGCACATGGAGCCGTTAAATTCTGACTTTTACAGCATCATCAGTCTGCTTCAGTAAATGCTATTTTTTAGGTTGTTTGAGCAGCAAAACACAAAAGAATGTCAGAGAAAGGCGTGTTAACACAAACAGCCCATCATCAGTTCTGTGTATAACTTCATCCTGCTTCCTATAGGAGCAGACGATGAGGTGATAATGACTCGTGGATGGAAGGTGAGGTTAACCTGATTCCTGCAGATGTTTTCACCACCAGGAAGACGTCAACGGCGTAACAGAAAGTCCACCAAAAAGAGGCGCTGAAAAACAGCTGGATCCACATCTGCAACACACAAATTGGACACAATACACTCACCATACAGTAATTATTACAACTCAAAGCCTCGTCTCTTGGTTTATCTGCTCTGCTGTGTCATGTTTCCTGTGACTGATGCTTCACAATCAGCTGTGAACAAGCTTTCCTGAGCATCCATAAAAGCAAATGAGCACTTCTACCCATGAAATCAGGATTGTCTGCATGATTTACATTAAAGACAGCAAGTGTTTCTTGTCCTGCTACGCTTCCTTCTGCTGCCGAGTGTCAAGCACAAGGCCAAGACGTGACAGGCTCTTTCACGTGAAGGTGTAACTGAACTGTTAAACAATACAGGGCTTTGTAAAAGACTGTCACACGTACGGCACTGCCGACGCAGAAGACCTCCGGCCAGACATCAGTGTTGTTGGTCACCGAGATGCTGTCGATGATGTTGGGAAGGCCGAGCCAGACCGATGACCTGACGATGATACCTGGAAGAGAAGGAAAAAGTCTGGTTTCAATTAACATTTAAAACACATGACATTTTCTTTTCTTCAGCTTCTATTATGGGGTGCTTTAATTAATCAGATACAGCCACAGATTCCTTTTAATAGCAGCTTTACATCATGGAAATATGAGCTTCCACCAGGTGCTTTTTATAAGGGTGTTTCCATTTCCTCCCCGGCTTCACTTCAGAATGGAAACATGGGAGCTCTCCCACAGTCTTTATGCGATTCAGACTACACGCTGAGCTGTATTTCATTTTAAACTGTCATCAAGCTGTTAGTTTGCAGCAGCGAATGAATCTCACCGGGCACTAAGTACACAGAAATACATGACTTCATCTGCCTTCCCTTTCACCGGGAGCAGAAGCAAGTGATGAATGATCAGTTCAAATGTCACCCTGGTTCCTTAAGCAGTGCAACAATCTGAGAATAATCTGCAGACTTCTGTGTGTGTAACTGGTTGCTTTGGGGTTTATGGTGCATTCCAATCAAGCCAAGGCAACACCAACAACAACTTTGAAAAAAAAAAAGGGTAGTAGCTGTTATGAGTCATTTCATTACTCACATGAGTGGATCATGATTCATTCTTTTGTTTGGAATTTAACAGCTTCACACCCAAAGATCTGATTTGGTAAAATGTTATGTAGGTTCGATTTAAACAGATAAATATACACATTAATACATTTTGTTCATAGCTGCACTCAAACTGTGCGCAACAAAAGGGTTAAAACAAAAAATTCTTGCGTGCGTAATTATCCAAAAAGCAACAACAGCGCGCCATGAAACTGACTGACTCACTTTCCCAAACAACAAAAAAGCAGTTTCTTCTTTACCTGTGCATCCCAGAATGTCACAGATACTGATGATGAACAGAATCCGAGAGGAGGACGCAGGCCTGGGCAGAGGATACTGTCCCAGTCTTCTGTACCCTTTGCGCTTTGGAAGAATTTGGAGAATGGCGAAGACGAGGCTCAGCGCTGCGCTTCCCAGACTCAGAGCCCCGAACAGGACGGGCTGGAAGGTGACCACGAACTCTGTCGCCGAGTCCCGGTTCGGGCAGCAGAAAGTCTCCAGCCGAGGAGATGCCATCACGGACTGCAGAGAAAGAGAGAGGGAAGGAAGGAGAGAGGGAGAAAGGGAGAGAGAGAGAGGGGGGGAGAAAAGAAGTAGGCTACGGTGTCAGGAGAAAAAGAAAAGGAAAGGAAATGAGTGAGTCCATGACCCAACTCTGTAAGAAATCACGGGGTTGAATCATCATGTGCTTCTGTTTAATCCCTGCAGTTGTAGCTTAACTGTGGCACACAATGCAAGAAACTGACAAAGGGCTGTTGTGTTATAGAGGCTGATTTAGAGGATCAGCCGGCTACTATGTTTTATTTGGGTGAAATTCTGGTTCATTCTGATAGAAGTGATTTACTGCAGTTGTAACCCTAAAAACTTGGAGTAACTTTACTCTCCTTCTCTGGCATCTTGTTAAAACAGAGCTTACAAAATGCTTTGACAGACAAACCAAACAAGAGGATCATAATTCAACAGAGATCCAGTCAGGAACAGAAAGAAAAAGAAGAAGAAAGAAGAAGAAATAAGGCTAAAACATACCAAACACATTATTTCAATATGCACTGAATAATAGAACAAACACCAATTGATACAAATAAAAAGGCCAAAGCACAGAGTAAAAGAGAGCCAAAGCGACACCATCACTTAAAAGCGACTCTATATAAATGGATTTTAGGATTAAATCGCTGATTCTGCAGCCAAGAGGCCCTCCGTGGCAAACACTCAATCACTCTTAGATTTAGGCCTCGGCCTTGGAACAGTCAGAAAGCCCCCACCTGAGGATCTAAGGCTGCAAACTGGCTCATACAAGGGTCAGCATTTCTGTTAGATATATATGTCGCTCTGGGGCAGACTCTGATGAGCTTTAAATGTGATTAAATAAAATCTTGAAATCAACTCCAAAATGAACAGGTAGCCAGTGGAGGGAAGCCAGGATGAAGTGAAGTCGTCGGTTAGAACCAGGAAGAAGCTGAGAGGCAGCATTCTGAAGCAGATGGAGGCGATGGAGTGAGTTATAGTTGATGCAGAAGTCACACTCTTAATACAGAAACCTCAAGACAACAACCTCCAAATCCCCCAAAACAAGATGACTCAGCACAACGCAGGCAATCAATTTGCACAACACAACAACAACCCCACCAACCAATCACTGTGTTTCTCTCCAAAGGGAATTTTGCTTGTACAGAGTTAAGCTGAGGGACAATAGAGGGCATGAAAGAGTTTTCATTTCTATATATGCATTTTTTAAATATCTATTAGTCTAATAGGACCCCAGACGTAGATAATTGGAGGCGAAGTAGTGACATGACATGATAGATCAAAGCCAGCGGACTCTTTCACTTGTGAACTAATAAGTGGTCTAGTTAGAGGCAGAGGGTTCATCCATCCATCCCATCGACCTCAATGTGTCTGCTGGGAATCTGCGGTGCCCCAAAATTAAACCGAGCCTCCTGCTGGCGACGTGAGCCGCTCGATCACTCCTAAACACACATACATGGACTCCTCTGCTCATTTTGTGACCTGCAGAATGGATTTTGTGATAAAAGAAAAATATGGACTAGGGGGGGTCCGGTACAAATGGACTATTTTTTACTGATGTACAGTTACATCATATGCACTCAAACCCAATTTCTGACACAGGCTCCAGCTGGTATTTTTCAGCTATAGGAACTGTATGTTATTGCTTCTTTGTACAGACAACATTTGCTTGTACTCAACTGGATTCAAATCGCATACAAATGCATGAGAGACTCCCTGGGAACATGGCATACATATACTGGATGAAATTTGGAACACGAGAGCCGACACATGGCCATATTGCATGCAAATCGTGCTCATGCACATATGGTATGTTTGCAGAGAACAGCCAGCCCAGGATATTTTGAAATGCAAACATATTTGCATTGGTGTAGGCATAGCTTGTCTTCATCTGTTGTATTTATGGCAGAATAGATGCATAAAAAAAATCATTTCCTGCATCCAGTGATGAACAAAGATGTCAATCAAACTCAGAATGGAAATTTTAAAGAAGGAATACAGATATTATAACAGTCTTATGAAAGCTTTGATAACTTTCAAGGCTGTTCAGGTAAAAAAATGTTCAACCTGCACGATGAAAAGTTTAAATGAAAACATTTTTGTGCTTGCCCAACCTTGGGACTTAACCACACTTATTCCTATTCATAGACTGATGATAATAAGGATGACATTTGCTGCACTTTGCCTGCACAGCTGAGCAGAGTCCTGCATCCGTGCAGCAGACGTTCACCAAGTGCAGTTACAGGAGAGGTCACGGCAGCTGCTCGATCGCCCTGCTTGGCCTGAGATCTGAGAAAACTGCTGGACATTTGAAGCAGATTTATTCAGGGGAACAAAGCATCAAGGGCCTTCATTATTCAGTACTACAGAGAGGGCATTCATTCAGTTTTTACAATGGCATTCTAATCCATATGCACCTTTCCTGACAAGGCACAAAGTCAATTGTACGGCAAGCTTGTAGCTTGCTGCCAGGGATTAACAACTCCCAGAGGAATACACTTGGAGTATTGACTTGCTTTGAGCATCTGCTCTCTGAGGCTGCCCTCTGCTGGCCTGTATATTATGTGATTGTGGATCTGACAACACGGTGGATATTGGTGGAGCAGTACACATGGGAATAGCTGTGTGTGAAAATGATTGACCTGCTACGATAGAAACTTATTGCACTGATAGAGCACATGGAGCAATCGCTGTTGCACGAATCAATAAGTGAAGGGCTGCAACACATAAGACAACTGTTGTCTCCAGGCCAAACACTGGGTATATATTGAAATAATAATACAGATATTGTGTGGGGAATAAACTGAATATGGTGTTGATTATAGTGTTATAGACAGGCTTCTAATATAACTTTAATTTCTGTACATTAAATGTGACATGTCAGCTCAATGTCAATATTACTGCTGAAGCGCAATAAAAATACTTTTATTCAACCACTTAAAACATAAAATCTGCTTTCTATAAATTAAAAATTCTCATCAAGCTGTAACATTTAAGAATCACTTAAAAGGGGTTTATCAAAAGATTTTTTTAAATGGTGCTTTCATGTCCTAAATCAGCCACAATGAGAAAAATATGTCCAAACAGATGTTAAATCTTTAGATGTAGGAACTTTTTTATGGTTTACAAAGTTTTCAAACCACTTATACATGGTGCATGAACAATGGGGAGGCAACTTTACACCACTAATTTCCCCTCATTCAATTCAAAAACTCCACAAATGCCCTCCCCCATCACTGCCCATCCTCTCCTGCAGGGGAGGATGGGCGTGGACCAACAGTGTCAAATTACACACAAATTACAGACCCGACCTGCTCAGCAAAAAAAAAACAAAAAACCTCTTCCCCTGTCCCTCTGCACCTTCATTGGTCGAGAACCCTACATTCAACCAGCCTGCTTCCTGCATGGCAAATACTTCTGCCTGAGAGGAAATGATATCACAGCGCCAAGATCTGCCACAAGTCTACTGGAAACAGATGAGGACCAAACATATTTCAGATATGCTTTGACTCCTAGTTGGACACAGCTCGGTTTATATTGCAAAACCAGTGAGGATCAGGTCATTAAAAAAACAGCTTTTGGAAGGACGCTGTGAACTATGTCTGCTGGAAACAAAGAGACTCCGAGAGACACTGCATGTCAAAGTGGGACTGAGTATTTCTCAAACCCTTTGATGAGCGGTGAGTAGAGGCTGGCAGTTCTAAGCTGCAGCTGGAGTACATTTACCATGTCATTTGAATGCATATTTGTATCATTTTTAAAGTGAGCCAGGTGAGCAACTGTTGTTAATGTAATCTACCTGTAGATGTTGCATCGGACTGGTCTCCGATTCATGATGCAGCCTTTAATGGACGGATCCTCGCTCTGCAAAGGCTCATTGCTCAGGTAAAGTTTAAAGCAGGTTAAGTTAAACCAGGATCACTTTAACATGCAGTTTACTCATCAGGAAAAACTTTTGCTGTCTTAAATCATCATGTATGTGAAAGACCCATAAGTTATTCATTAAAACATTTAATATTTCACAAACTAACAGCTTGTGATGATAATATCTCAGGGGGTTCCGGACTCATGTGGCTATTAATATCCCATTTTCAAAACTCATGATGCACATGTATTGAAACTACATGTATTGTGTTTTGTCCACAGGGCACATGTGTAAATCTGAGCACTCTGGACAAGGTCTCGCCCCTCCATGGAGCGTGCATGCAGGGACACACGGCATGCGCGAAGCTTCTGATGGAAAATGGGGCAAATGTCAGTAAGGCCTCATCATCTGGTTACGATTTATTTGTGACTGTAACGGAATCGAAAACAATCTGTAATCAAGACAGCGTGTTTTCCGTCTTCTCTTGAAACAACCGAATGAATTATTGATGCTTCTAACTTACTCATGGGACATTTTAGTAAGAAATTAACCAAACACACATGCTTGCAGACACCTACATGCATGCACAATAACTCATACGCAAACAAAAAACTTTGCATGTAAAGCTGCCTGCTCACCACAGCGCAGATCTACAGTCAGTGTGTTGTATAAATATAATAGACTGAATTTTGCTATATTACAGTTTCATTATATGTAGTTACCACTTAAGAGACATACCTACTATAATAATAGGATCACTTTTGCCTTAATTGTTTTAACTTTGAATTAATTGGTGCTTGCAGAGAATTTAGGGTGAACTCCCTCAAAAGTATACCTACCCATTTCAGGTAAACAGTTCAACCGTGGATGGACAAACCACCTTGACAGAAGCTTGTGCTCGGGGTCACGTGACCTGCGTGTCGCTGCTTCTTCAACACGGAGCAGCTTCTCTGGGGACCAGTCAGTCCAGTTCTCCCATCCACAGGGCAGCAGCCAAAGGTTAGAAGTCACATTTCACAACATATGCATAGATAATCTATTCAAACTGGGCTTAGTCACTCAATACAAGATGCACAACAAGTGCCATGAGGAAAAATCCCTGAAAAATGTGTAAAAATAGTCTGTGTTTGTTGCCTACAAAGTAAAACATGAGCATCTTCTCACCCGGGATGTCAAGCAGATTTCACAGCAGATCCTTTCAAGTACGTGACTTCCCATTATGATGATTCTGACGTCTCTCCACAGGTCACCCCGAGTGCATCGAGCCTCTTGTTCAGTACGGTGCAGATGTGGATCAGCATATTGACAACCTAGGCTCTCCTCTCCACGTTGCCTGCACCAATCAGCATTTAAGTACTGTGAAGAAACTGCTTCTCCTAGGTAAGAAAGCCTCTTATATGAATTTTTATCTCTCATATAAATGTATTGGTCTTTTAGGTTGAAGTAGAGATGAAGGCAACTTAGATCAGGTGTTGTAATAAATGTAGAATAATTAATCACACAAGTTAAACAACTGCAAAAGTCATGGGATCGGAATCCAGGTATCTCCAGAAGGAACAATAGGGTTTCAATAGTTTACATTACAAAAGTCCTGCATTGAAAACTGTCGTTGTGTGAAAGTACACAAAGAGTGATAAGCAACGGCTTCTTGACGACGCCGGTTTTACATTTTAAAGACTATTTACAACTCTTGGGGAGAACTACTACATATGTAAGATAGCTATAAAAAAAAAAGGCCCTTTGTGTTTGCAGGGGGGAGCTGAGTGAAACTGGATAAACTGCCTCAGGAGGTGTCACTTGAATTAGCACTGAATCTGAAAGTGGGTTTGTGGGGGTTAAATAGAAGTGAGCTTATCAGACCTGTGTAGCCTGCTCCTCATCTCTGTTAGAGGTTAGCCGCTTTGGGGTATGTTAGCGGTGAACGGCTAACCTTGAGCTCACAAAATGACATTGTGGAGAGGCTGGATTTGAAGGAAGAGGAAGAACACACAGATTTAAAATAGACGATGTCTCTGATTCCGCTAAATCATTTTCTGTTTCTTATTACTGTCTATTATGAGACCACTAATGTTATGGGAATGCAAAGGTAGAATAGTTTGCAACGGTTTGAGGCATTCAAGTGAGGATGCTTTCTACAATACTTAATAATTATTATTTATCAATTCACTGCCATATAAACTGCAGTAAACAGACTCAAATACCTCACTTTACCAGTTTGAACACAAACCAGTACAAGCTCTCTTAGGTACATTTGCACAGTTTTTTCCAAGTTACCCTGCAAGTAGGTTATTTCAGGCATTTTGTGGAGAACTTGTGAAGAGTGTTTCCTGTCTCTTCACGTAATCCCAGACCTGGGGGAGGGAGCGTTTGTGGCAAGGCTCTTTGTGCTTCTTCTAACTGAAGATATTGCACCTCTTTGTGACTCTGGCTGGATGTTTGAGGTTGTTTTCATGCTGCGGCATGAATTTGGGACCAATCAAGCGGGTTCTCTAATGGCATTGCATGATTGGATGGATACCAACCTGCCTGTACTTTTCCAGCATTGAGCGGCGCTACTAATTCTGGTCATATCCACCGCTCCAGCTGCAAAAACGGAGCTGCAAGGAAACTACGTTGTACTAAATTGCTGTCTCTGTGCAGTGTTTACCCACGAAAATACATTTTACAGACATTTTTTGTGCAAGAATTGAACTCGTAATGAAGTCTATCTATATAGTCGTATTGCTACCCATGATATCCAGCATATCCACAACAAGACTCTGTCGGATATGATGTGTGTAGTGAAGTAAAAAGTAGAATGTTTTACCTCAAAACTGTGCTGAATGCTCGAGTAAACTTTACTCATATTTCATGGAGATCTGCTTGTGTTAAATTCACATTGTGTTATAACTGATGGATCTGCAGTTATAGAAAACTGAATTTCCAGTATCGCCCCATCTCATGTATTGTCAGGGCATCATGGCTAACTTCTTCCCTCCCTCAGGCGCTAGCGTGAACAGCAAGGCATCTGGTGACTCGCCCCTGCACATTGCCGCCCGTCTGTCCAGCCCCGAGTTGGTGTCCGTCCTGCTCGACCACGGGGCAGATCGCTTCCTCACCAACTCAGAGGGCAAAAGGCCGATGGACCTCGCACCTCCCAGCAGCCCCTCGGACAGACTGCTGAGACAAGCAGGAGGTAGTCAAAGCAAACTAACCAAGTAGCCTCACTGTGGGGATTCGCAAGTTTTTCTTTTCTTACATTGGGGCTGGTTGCCGTAGGCAGAAGTTAAATAATCGAAAACATCTCTCTGTAATGGCTCCTTGCTTCTCCCCTGAGTGTCCCCAGGAGTGTCTCCTCTAATGCAGCTGTGCCGGCTATACATCAGGAAAACTGTGGGCAAGCAGAGGCTGGGTAGGATTTGTGACCTTCACCTCCCCACGGCGCTGATACAGTATCTTCTCTACCGATCAGACCCGAGGGCAGATCTAATGCACTGACATTCCTCAACCTTCCCGTCTCAGGTTCTTCAGAGCCTCACAACTATCGGTCAGTAGGGGGCAGGCTTGTATAATATTGCAGGGAGATGATGACATCATGACTCATAATAATTAACCATGATTCCCCTTTGTGACAGACCTCGAAAACAAATTCAACATCAATGTGGACATTTATACGGATGCTTAAAAGTCCTGGAGCAAGATGCCACAATTAATAGCAATAAAGAACGAGACATATTTTAAGTGAGAATAAAAGCTGCAAATGACTATATAATGAGTTTATACACTGAAACTACTGGAAAGCTATTTTTGATATTACACAAGCACCTTCAATAATATTGTTTTTTTTGCCATTTGTACCAAAAGACTTTGTAGATGTTGCTGCAGAGTGTAATGTTGTTTACACAAAAGTATTGTTTTGTAACGTGTCATACAAATGAACCACAGATTCTTGATTATTTTGAATAAAAGCCATCATACGTCTGGTGTGCTTGCATCAGGCTGGATGGGCAAAATGTCAGATAGCCTTGGTGTTTTATTTGTCATCAAACATGCAGGTTGATATCTGCTGTTTTACAAGCATCTGGTTTGGCTTCCAATGCACACAAACCACCAGGACTTCAGCTGCCAATTTTTTTTCTTCTTTCTTTTCAGTTTGTTCTTATCTAGTTTGTGTTCTGTTTTAAAATTGTTGCTTCTGATTGTAAAGCAACTAAATATGTCTATCCAGCTGTACACAGAGTCTGATGTGTGGCTTTACAGGACGTGCAAGGTATCTTTGTCTGCATACAGACTGTGAACACGCTTGTACAATTTTCCTGTTTGTCGCTCCCTGTGCGGCAAAGAATTCAGCGTAATAGGTTTGGAATTGTACATAGGAGACGGTAATCAAGATTGTCTGTGAAAAGTCAGCTGTTTCGCTGGAATCTAAAGAGTATATCTCAAAAGACAAACAAGATAACAAGGAGGAAGCAAAACAATCACTTGAGCACCGGCTGCATACAGACACAACATGACAGAAAAGTGACGCTTAAGCATTCATGGTACAAATGAATCAGTTATAACCCAGTTATGTTCTATAGAGGATTCAGGTTGTTTCTGTTCCCCTGGTCTGCCTGAGATACGAAGCTTTGAAGATGTTAAAGTGAAGCATCAAGAGTTTCTAGCTGCTAATTTTCTCGTGGTGCCCCTTCTACTTCTTGTAATAACACGAGGCGAGGAGAGGGCACTGGTACCAAGCTGGAGCAATGATCTACACAATTTGTGACTCCCATTAATTCAGCTGGCAAAAACCAAAGAATGCCATGTTTTATTTAGGCCACCCCTTCTCTCCACTGCCCAAATCTAGTATTTACAATGTGCTGGCCGATTTCATGGTAATCATTTGTTTATCCGCTGCCTCCAGCTCAAACATGCAGTGCAGAACAGACCCGTCTATTTTTCCTGATTCTCTCAATAGCGTTATTCGCACAATTCCCATAAATAGAGTGCGAGCAAGGCATCAATTTGTCATGTTTACTTCTAGCAGCCTGTGAGCTTGACAACATTCTTCACCATTTCTGCAAAAAAACAGTTTAAGGGCTCAGTGACCTCTGACCCGTGTGTTTGTCTGTACATGCAGCCAATCAGTGGGTCAACAGATGTCAGAGGGAGGGAAAGCAGAAAACAGGTTCAGGATGGATGTAAGAACAGGGAAGATAGCGAAGCAGGCAGCATTACTGGGATATGGATACTGGCTGTGCATCTCTAACTATTATCGGAAATGAGTAACGTTTTCTGCCACCGTATTATGAGCATCGATTTCGACAGGCAATTTAGAGAGATGATGAAAAGTATAGTGTGCGGTAGTAGTCCCCCAGTGGACACCAACATCCTCTCCATGGTGACAAAAGCAACAGTTACGCAACTCTCCCACTCCCTTCTTGTTAAATGCAGCACTCATTAACTTTCCATTGATCCCCGTGTCCCAATTTGCCACCTGAACTAAATCATCGTCCCCTCAAACATTTCACGAGCGCTCGGGGCGAGGCGCACGCTGAACCGAGTTTCGATTTAACTGGTGTTTAATGTTAAATCAATACGGTGAAGGAGCGTCTGACTTCTGCAGCTGCAGAGGAAGACGTACAGTATCCACCGAGTGTAATTAGTGACATCTAGACGATCAGGTGAGACGAGTCTGTCTGGGAATAACCGTCACACAAGGCCGTTAAATAACATTCCACTTCAGTCATCATCGCATTTCTGACGGCAGGTTTTTCTGCTCCGCTCTGTGCAGTGTATCTGAACGATTTCCTGCGTTCGGTGAGGTACTGTGTGGCACTCAGATGCACTTAAAATCAACCCACCTATGTGTGATACCAAAGCTTTTACTTTGATTCTCCAGAGGCACGCACTCCATTAACCCCCCATCCTTTTTTTTTTGTACATTGGCACTTTCTACCCAAATAGTGCAAAATGCATTTCCTGCTAAGGATTTAAGTGAAACATGCAAGTTTTACATCCTTGCTTTGAACTATCCAATTCCTTCTACAAAACAGCTATTAGTTGAAAGGTTTTACACGGAGATAAGAAAGAACCACGTGCAGGGTTACTACTAAAATAGAATGAGCTACAGACCGAGCAACTCAATACAATCCTTCCAAACATTTCGTAGCGACCAAAATGGCCAAGTGTTTATAATCAAGTAGGATTAGCTTGCTCATTATTCCATGAATCATTCTAATCACCCCTCAAATGTGAACAGCCACCACCTACTGTGAACAAACTGCAAATGCTAATGCCAGACAACCCTTGTGTGCACACATCTAATAACCGAACTGCGATCATTCCTTGTGCGGCGGCTCACGTCCCGATTGCTCCCCGAGCTGGATCTTGTTATAGATATCAGTGCTTCCCACTAAGCTACAAGTGGGTTGTGCCATGTCCTTATACCCGGCAGTAATTGCTTTGGTATTTTTAGTTTAGTTTAGTGTTGGGGTAATTAAAACAAATTGAGGAGATAGCGGAGACAGAGATCTCCTGAGGTTTCTTAGTATGAGTGTGGAGAAGTTTAGTAAGGTCATATGTTGCAATGTTTTCAATTAGGCAACTCTGCACTAATGAGGGCTTATTAAAGTGAATATTTATGCAAAACAGGGCTGCTAAATGGCTGAAAGGCAGGTGTGTAAATGTGCTTTTTAGCTCCACAAGTAGACTTTTTTTCTTTTATTTTTGCCTGACCAGGCGAAAAGCATTAAACAAAGCAAGATGAGTTGACAAAAAAACTGTTTATTTCATAATGTGTAGATTTATATAATTTATAAAATTATACATAATGTTCACAAAAATAACTAATCTTTCCTACATATTGTGACCGTTGCAATAAATACACGCATGATTTCCATGACCAGTTTTAAAAAATACATCACTGATTTGACGTCATACTATTAAAACTGTCGGCGTTACATTAGCTGTCAAGAGTCGGGAAAGAGACGAGTACGATCGCTCTTCAGATGTTAACTCCACAACAACTCACATGTCCTTAAAGTCAGCCCTGCTCCTCTCCATGACAGCAGCCTGTGGGAGGGCAGGGGAGCGTAGGATGACCGTCCCTCAGGTGGTCGACTGTGGTCCCGCTGGAACCGTCCGTGTGTCCGTTGTTGACAGATGCAGGCGGAGGATGCTGTGGCAGGTCACGATGGCCGCTGGGCTGTACCCAGCAGGTAGAGACATGATAGGTTGAGCACCATGAGGACCAGCACCAACCCGATCAGAACCTTCTGGACCCACAGACACGTATTGAGCTTCTGTTCCAGCCGTGAGTTGCAGGCCGTGACTCGCATGAGCTGATGAGACAAAAAAAACTGGTTGAGTGACTTGGACGATCCCTGTAGCACCCTTTCAGTAAAAGTTGGGGAAACTTGTTAGACTACTAGATGCATAGAAAAACAAAGGGAATAGTTAAATATTAATGCTTTGAAAATACATCTATAAGCATCTCAAGACATACTGTATGTTTAGTTTATGTAAAATATACAAGAGGAGATGTTAAAGTGTCAACTTGTGAGCTTTGAAGATGCTTGAAATTGGCTTTGTTAGGACTAGACTGCTCCCCTATAGCCAGTCATTTTGCTAAACATACATCAGCATTAACGTTACAATACAGACATCAGAGTGGTATCAGTCTTTTCACGTAACTTGCTTCAAGAAAGCCAATAAACAAACATATACTTCCCCAAAAAATTTAAGAACAGCTAAACCAGGTAGCTGTGCCAACCAAACTGTTACAGCAATTCAACCTAATGAGCACAGGCACTTTGTAAACTTTATAATTACAGATGTTACCACTAATGATGAAATATTAAAATGATTATCATCATTATGTGATTTGTAGAATGCTTGATGTCTTAAGGGAATATTATTTAGTGTCCAACTGGAACTACAATGTATTTTAAAACAACAACGGTGCTCTACAAAAACAATAATGGTGCTCACATATACAGTACACTATATACACTAAGTAGTATAAGGCTTCTCTTCTACTGGAACTCACCGCTGTGCTTAATTCCTGCTGCCCACTGGTTGCTATATCCATGGGGCTGTCCCTGAGAGGGCTCAGCGCTGGTTTAATACTCTCCAGAACATGACAGCGCAATCTGTAAGAAAGGCACACTCTAATGAGCGGGAGATATCAGGAGGACGATATGCAACGTACAGATCCGCTGGTGTGCTGTAATGAGAACTAAGCAGCTAACGGCCTTCACCGAGAGTGGACAAATCAATTTTTGTATTTATTAAGATGTTTAATCAGGGACACAATTACGTGCCTATGTTCCATGATCTTGGTCTTTGGTACTTCTTTCCAGAACTGTGCGAGTTCTTGTGATCCAGCATTGTCCATCTCGGCAGCCATGACCAAAAACCTGTCCTGTGGAGAGGCTTGGGAACCTGCACGAAAGCATCCAGGTCAACATTTAACCAACAGAAGTTATACAAACGAATACAGTTAGGTCTGTGGGTCGTAAATCCTCAGGGGAGATTTACATTTTTGTAAGAAAATGTTGCTTTAAATCCCACTCTAGGAAAAAAGATTTGATTTTATACAGCAAATGTGAAAGAATTACTATTTAAAACAGTATTAAAACTAACGTAGCAGACTGACTTGGTTCAGACACAGAAACAGAGGGGCTATGTTCAAAGACGTGAGATGTGACAGTATTGAAAAAAAGAAAAAAACCACCACAGCCTAAAAGCTAGGGGGGAAAAAAAGCACCCCTAAAATAGGCTGCACTGATTCTTCTGAGCTATGTTCAGCACATCATAACCTAAAGCTGACATTTCAGCGCTTTAAGGCCACAAAATGTTTCAACTCATGCAGCACTGTCAGTTGTCTGATGGTTTGTTTTGGGGGAGATGATTCTTTTATCACTCCTGAAATATGCATGTCAGGAAAAGAAAAGTGGCTGCCTGCACTTTGGGAAGGTAATAGACTGAGCCATTTGATTATTCTGAGGTTCAGTGTTCAGAAACATCTGCTGTGAGTAGC